CGGCGGAAGATTTCGCCAGGGCCGCGGAGCGCTCGGCGGGGTACGGCAGGGAACGCGAAGAGGAGGACGAGGAGGAGTATGGCGACGGTTTCCGGCCGAAGAAGAGGTCTCTGGGGCGCAAAAACGGCAACGATGCCGACGGTCAGCAACTGTGGGTGCTCGGCGCCCGCGGACTCCCTCCAACTCACATTGAACGATCCCATAGGTGGCGTCCCAAGCTGCGCCGGAAGGTCACGCGCGAGCCCGAGGCCAATCGAGAGCAGGAGCAGGGCTTTGGGTCCCTCGCTGACGGTGACCTCGACCTCCCTCCCCCTTCCGTCCCCACTTTTGCAATCCCCCGCATTCCGGCCATTTCCGCCTTCTCCGCCCTCCCCAACTTCCCTGCCGTCGACCCTGCCGGTACTGCCGAAAGGGAGGCCCTGTTGGACGAGATGATGGTTACGCAGGGCGAAGTGGCGGCGAACGGCATCACGTGAGGCTCACCTGCGACCACCGGACCGTGCTCTAAGCTCACGATGGCTTCTCCCAGGTTGCCCATTGCCCTGCAGAATGCCCCGTTGGCCAACGCATCGCGTACCCCCAGCGCCGGAAGGGTCGCGGGCCTCGAGGGGAACGACGACGTCGCGAGGCAGTCGAGGGAGCAATGGCGCCGGCTCTTCCCGAACGGGGACAAGCCGTCCGGCGAAAAGCCAAAGAAGAAGACAGCTGCCAAACCGAAGAGCCAGGATCCGCAGGCCAGCAAGCCCAAAGATCCTGCCTGGGCACAGGCATTTGACGCCGCCCACAGGCCCAAGGGGCACAAGTTCACGGTGCCGACCGCAGGAAAACCGGCCGAAGACGACAAGAAGGACAGCGGGCCTCTGGATAACTTTCTGGGGTGAGTGGCACCTCGAAGACCGCCGACAGAACCTTGCTCACCAGCAACTGGGCCAGATGAGTTGTAGACGAGCTGCACGTCGAGACGCAGAAGATGATGCTATGGAGACGTTGTATATCGCCGTGTTAGACATCGAGATACCCCCGAACGGCAAGGAATCGACCCACCAGCTGGTCCGTCCGGCCGGCAAAGGAAAGGTCCCTCGGACCGGATCGCCGATGACGCGGATACGGCAATGTGTCGAACCTAAGGCGTGCCAGGGTCGTTAGTACGGCCAGAAGAGTAGCAGGGGCGAGGTTCGGACGCACCATGGTCCACGAAGCTCGACCTGCTGGCGCCGGGGTCGGGCACGGGCGGCTCACTATCCCAGCGGCCGTTCTGCCAAATCGCCTGCCAATGAGGGGATAGAAGGCACGGAGAAAAAGGTCTTCCGATTGAAAGGAGGGACCAGCGTTGCCGCCGTCGACAGCGCGGGAACACCGTTCCGCGGCCGTGTCCCCCACAGCGTGCCCAAGCGTCAAAGAAGACTGCCACCGGGGACCCTCGCTCCTCAAAGCGAAGCACTTCAGTGGCGCCGTCCAGGGCACGAGGGACAGCTAGGAAGGCGGAACGACAAGATGGTGCCAGGAAGGGCCCGGGAGAACACGGCCGGCAGGACGGGCCGACGGCGGCCCGGCGAAACGGCCCATCACGCCCCGTCCGCGGCGGCGGGCGGCCGAGCACTCCTCTGCCAGCGCCGGCCGCCCCTTCCGGGCCGCGCGACGGGCCCCGTTGCGTGCGGAGCCGGGGTCGCGAAGTCAGGGTGCAGAGGGACACGTGATCGACGTCCCTCGGCGGAACCTGCCGAGGCGTCCGTCCGACCCATCGGCGATCGAGTCCGGCCCGACAGGTACAGGCAAAAAGCACTCCAAATGAATTGCGGCGCCACCTGCCACCTTGAGGTGCGATGCGGGCCCGGTGAAGTTTGAGGTGCGTCGCGATCTCATCCACCTCGGCCCGGAGCCACTTCTTTACGGAGCGTGGACCCGTTGGCGAGGTCGACGTTGGATCCGACTGCCTATATTGGCCTCAGAGGTGCGACCCGGTGGCCGTCTGGCTTGTTGAACGTGCGTGTGGTACCGCCTCTGCAGACGAGATGCGGAGTCCTACAGCCTGCCGACAACACCACGCGCTTCATCCATCGCAGCCATTGAAAGCGAGCCTGTCTCATCCTTCTGGTTGTGCTCGCTGTGGGGTTCGTTCTCCAGCCTCATCTCGCGAAGCACCGTATTCAAGCTCGGCAGAAATGACGTGTCAGGGGGCCCCCTCGACGGCAAGTTCGTTCGGGACTTGTTGACGCGAATGGACCATAATGCCACCGAAACCATCTCCATAGTGCGCTTTGGAGTGTCGCACGATCCATACCTCGTGGCCGACCTCGTCCAGGACGCGCCGATTTGGAACGTACGGACCCTTTTCGGCAGACACTGGTCTGCATAATTGGGAAGCCGGCCACGGGAACCTCGAGTTGCATCAATCGGCACACCAAAAGTTCGGTTGTTTACCTTCCTTCTTCATGTGTTGAGCGTCCGACGTCGAGAACGGCACATTGGGCATCGAGAGTCGGGTTGAAAGATCCCTGGGCAGATCGACCCATCCGCCACTTACCATGCATCGCAAAGAGCGTGATTGACAGGCCGGGAATCGCGCTGTTCGTTGGCCGTTCCGTTGGCGGCTCTGGGCCGCGACGTCTGGGCCGCGACGTTCACCTCTTCCTCGCGCCGCGCGCCGGCGGCGCCGGCTGCCGCCCGCGCACGGTCAAGCTGGCTCCGAGCAGCGATGTCGCGGCGGCCGACGCCGAGCCCTGCCCGTTGAAGGTGTACGGCGTTGTGGAGGCAGTAGTTTGCGCCCCCTCCAACGCCACCAGCCGACCACGCGACCGCGGTCCCAGGTTCGTTCTCCGTTCTTTCCCCGACGTGAACGAGGGCCACATCGCCGGAACTGCTCGGAAAAGGAACCGCTCGGTCTCCGTGCCGCGCATCGTCGCTCCTCGACCCCCCGTCTCGCTCCGTGCGTCCAGCGCCCGCTGCGGTGCCCCGTCGCCGCATCGCGCGACTGCACTGGACGTGCAGACAGGCACCCGCTTTTCTTGCCCACTCCTACCCGTTCATCGGCAATTTCCAGTGTTCTGAATGGCCGCCGTACGGACGATGCGACTTCCCCTGGAGTGCTCGAAGTACACTGCATCCGTCGGGTTGTTGGACGCCAAGGTAGTCGCCCGACGAATCGTCCACTGCTTTGTGTTTCCTACAAGCAGCCTCGCTCCATTCCCAGGTCTATCTCAGCAGGGCATCTCTTCGCGAGGCGTGCGACGCGTATGCCGAAGGCAATCCTGCTGTCCAAGCCCTTAGGGTTAAGGGGTGCGGCGCCGCGCGGGGAAGGGCAACAACGCGGGAGGCAGTCGCCCACAAGAGCGGGGCAAGGGCCCGCCGCAAAAGGCCGCGGGAAGGCGGAGCGGGGGGCGCAAAGGCTGGCCCGCGCGACGGCCCGCGCGACGGCACGACGCGGCGGTGTCGGCACCAGCGGTGCCAGGGCACTGGTCCCGGATGCACAAAAGAGGCGGCACGTTCAGCTCTCCGCCGGGGTGTTTGGGGGAGGTCGCGGGGGCGCGGCGGCGGGTTCAGACAGCGGCACTATTCCTGGCGGCGGAGCGCGGGGCGGCGGTGGGAGGGCGGCCAGCGGGGACGCCTGAAGCAGTCTCACCGTGGCGGCCGACCCGGCGAAGCCTGGGGAGCGGGTGCCGCCGGGTGCGGCGGGGTCCGCTTGAGCGGGGCCCGCGGCCGGCCGGCGCAAACATGGCGCCGCCCGCCGAGCGCAGTGGCACCCGACCAACCCGCGCACATACGAGCACACATACGAGCTCCATTGCCGGCCGCGATGTGGGTGGGCCCGGCGCGAGTGGCGATAGATTCGACCACGCGCCGACTCGAGTTCACGGGTCCCCAGCCGTTGTCTTCCACACCCGATGGCAGTGGCTGGCGGGCGCATGTGCACCGAACGATCGTGGCATCGTGGCACGGCAGGAGGTTGAAGAAGACCGTTCTCTTAGCCTTTCCGCCGGGGGGGTTTGCTTCATTTTGCCTGCTAGTCGCTGAATAGCACATCTTTTCCCTTTCCCGTTGCCGTGGAGGGATTGCGCCGCATGCGTGCAGGACCGGCCTCAAGTGGCGCGTACTTTTGCTCACCTGCGGCGGGGCGGCCGGGCGGAAATCAATTGCGGAGCACGAGCCGGCCCCTATCGTCTGGCTAGGATCCTACGTAGCCGTGCCCTTCCGCATCAAGTAATGCCATCGACGCTAAAGCGAGCCCTGACAGTAGGGACCCGTTTGACATCGGACCCGCGCGGGGAGGCGCCGACGGACTGGGACGGCACTGGGCGGCGGCACTGTCCCGTTGACGGTCTGCGCACTCCGCCCGCGCGCATTTCTGATGTTACGTCAGCCACATTAGCGGAATCGGTGGGTGTTTTGGGCACCGGCGTCCAGGGTTGGCCTCAAGTGGCACGGATATGTCGTCGGCACTGGGAAGGACGTCGCCGGCCGTCCCTGGTTGGAAAAAGACACCACGGTGCCCGAGCTGCGCGGCCCTCGGGGGTAAAAATGTAGCATGAGGGACGCGAAATGACCGGTAAGGGACCGCGGACAAGGCTGTTCTTCCCCGGTTGCGTTCAGCGAGGTGGAGCAGTCCACACGCAATTCCTACTTCAGGGTTCGCCGGCCCCCCTCGGCACCCACTCCCCGCCGGCAAGCTTCCTCCCACGGGCAGTCCGGACGCCAAAACGCGTGGAAACAGCCGGATTCTCGTCCCGGAGCGCGATGCATTGGGATGCCGGACGCGCCCCGCGCACGGCCCGGATCGCTCCCCCGCGCCTCCCCGCGATAAGCACGCTCCCTCCCTGCAATACAAACGAGGCCCGGCTAGCTCTTCGGACCTGTACAGGTGTCTGGATGGACAGGATGGTTCAGGGATCGGGCTGTGAAAGCTTGGTTCTCGTCGGTCGCTGGGCGGGATGTCCGGGGGGATTGAGGAGGCCCCCCGCGACCAAAATAGAAGCGATTCGGGACCCACGAGAGGTAAAATGATTCGACCAAGGCAGGATTCGAACCTGCGCCTCCAGAGGAGACGTGCTCTCTAAACGGTTTAGCAGGCACGCACGGTGACCACTGCGTCACTTGGTCTATCGTAAAGCCTACAGCGGCTTGCGGTCGCTTTGGACGTCGGCCGCGGAAGTCACCCGCAGCCCTTCAGCCCTTTCCCGCGATCCGTTTCGAGGCTACGCGGCCGGAGCCGGGACCGGGGTCGCTGCCCGGCCCGTCGCTCCCCCCGTCGCTTCGCCCCGGACTTCCACCGGGTTTCTCCCCACAGGCTCCGAACCCCGCAAGAGCTCCGCCTGTAGACTGTTTGGAATGGCATTCGTTTGCTTCGACGTCGTTGGTGGTTGATTGAGTCGAGGCGCAGCTGCGCCTGGGTCGCCCCCGTCAGTCGTCGCCCCTCAACGACCTGCGCGTGCCCGTTGCCCGCGAGGCTAATGGACGCAAGGTTGGGCCTCAGAGGAGGCCAGCCCCGTCCGCGTTCGGCACTCCACCACCCCCGAATAACCTCCGAGGCGGGGCCACAGGCTGAGGGCCACGTTGACAGGGGCAGCGCACTGGGCGGGCAGCGGGAGGCCGCGGAGCCCGGGCAGAACGTTCGGCAGATGCTGCCCCGCATTCGGGTTCCCCGCTCTGGCCATCGCCGGGAGACCGGACGCCGAGGCCCTATCGCGGCGATTCGGGGTGGGAGACACCGGCCGTGCGCGTCGGGCGATGCCGACATCCGGGGCAGCACGCCGTCCAAATAGCGCATCCGAAGTGGCAGCGGCGCGTCGCAAATGGGCGAGGTGCTGCCCGCGGCCACCGATGAGAGCCGCCCACGGGGAGGGATCGATGAGGGAGCGGGGAGGGAGCCCGTCCGCCCTGGCGCACCGCGGCGCCAAACTCAAGCGATGCACAACATGCGGAGAGCCCGAGGATTGGAGAGCGCGACGCCGAGACGGCCACCACCGCCGCGCGACGGAGGGGGCGGCCGCGGGCGGTGGGCGGCGAGCGCGTCCCCCGCCCCGTTGCGCGAAATCGCCCCGGGCCGCCCGTCGCGGCACGGGCTACAGCCATCGGCCAATTGGCGAGAGCGCGACCCGGCTCCGGCTCACGTGCCGGCGACTCGGGGTGCCGGAGTGCGTCACGCATTCGGGTTTGGAATGGGTCCAGCGGCCGACGCCGCGCGGGCCGCCGCCGACTCTGGCGGTTGCCAGACGCGGCCGCCGACCAATCTCCTGATGATATAAGATCGGGAAAGATATCAAAATATCCGCAACTGCCTTCTCGGCGCGGCAGACGGGCCTTCCCGTACTGGGCCTCGACGGCAAAGTTGCATTCGAGACGGCAGACGATCTCAAGGACTGGAACAAGCCATCGCGGTCCCGTTTCGGGCTCTCCGAAGTAAGTTCAAGCCGACCAATCTAGTGCGGGACCATTTTGATTACTTTGTACGCCACGCTCCATCCGTGGTCTGTGCACAGGTCGGGGGTTCCCGGGAGTACAGCGGCGCCGCCGTAACAGATTTCTCCTCGAGAGGGTCCCGAGAAGGCGTGGATGCGCCGCGCTAGGCGACATACCGCGTGCTTTGGGCCGAGCGGTGGGTTCCTGGGGCACGAAGCCCGCGAATGCAGCTCCGTTTGTTCTGCGCACGTTCACAGATCAAAAGCCAAACCTCGACACTCCGCCGCCCGCTACGAGCAACTAGTTTCCGTGTGATATTGTCCGACTTCAAAGTTTCGAAATCTTTCCTCCTGGGCTGGCCTATCCTCGCATCCGTACCGCGCACTGCTTCGGCTGTGACCGTGCTCGCACACCTTCGTGCAGGGATTATCTTCGGCAGCTCGGCCTCAGCGTCTTGGAAAAGGGGCTCGGCAGGACCCGATTTAAATGCTCTAGGTTGTATGACCGCACTCGTTCGCATCCGGCATCCAAGGAATGCCCCCGCGTGGCCGGGTGCTTGGACGTGCGAGCGCCCACGTCGGAGACGGATCCAGTTGCCGACGTCGACAGCCGTCCCCCGCGAGGCGCGTGGCACCACCCAAGTTTTCATTTCAGGGCCGGTTGATAGAATCCGACTGGACTCGGCGCGTGGACGATGACTCTGCGGAGACCGTCGTCCGGGGACGCTAAATGCCGAGGACCGGGTGTCTTGGTGCCGACTTCCACCAGGCAGGGCCAATGATTCGCGATGGCAGGAGTACGTGTGGATCACCTCCTGGTGACCGCGGCCCTCGACGCTTCGGATTGGGCCGTCGGGCGAAGGAACAAAGAGAGGCCCGGAGCGGCGCAAACATTTTGGCACACACGTCGACCGCCACGGGCAAACGCGGCCCACGCTCACGATAAGACACGGGCACGTGCCGCGGCGTACGGGGCGTCTCCTGCGGAGGCCGCACGGTCCATCTGAAGGCGGGCGCCGAACGTGGAGGCACCGCGCGGGGACGCGTCTGCGGGGACGAAGCGTCGCGTTTGGTCCTCGACGCGATCTCCACGTGGACTTCGTTGGAATGACGCGCGATCTGACTAAAGTGCTCTCTGTCATGACGCTGGCGTTGCCTCAGATCCAACAATCTGTGGTTCGGCGGGGCCCCCGCGCTGGGCCTGCCCGACCGGCCTCGAAGTGACTAGAGCTACCCGTCCACGGGGTTGATGTCGACGTGGTCGACGTTGGGTTCTAATGCGTCGGTGGTCTAAAGCGCTATGGAGGTGCCGGAGGTCGCGGAGGTTTTTATTCCGCGGAGTGTATCACCCTGACGGGTCGCGGGAGCGCCGGTGATCGAGGGAGGCCGAGGTCCAACACCGTGGAACCCCGCCATGGACATAATGGAGACGGTGGCGGCGATGTAGGAGACAGTGTCCTCGCGGTGGTTGGGCAGCCGGCCACCCCACCGCGCGTCCAGAGAGTCCTCGCGCTGGGCCAGTCTGGCGCCCCCCGACTCCCGCATCCATCGGCGCAATTCCGGCTTCCGACAGCCCCGTCGGCAGCTCCCCTCGGCGGTTGAGGTCGTTTCCCGGCCGCTGGATCGACATCTCCGTCCCCTACTTTGGCGCCGAGGGGTGCAAGGGGGGTTGACAGGTGGGCGGAGTCGCGGCAGCGGCGCGCCGGGGGGGAGGCCCATCGCGCCCGAAGGCGCGCCCGCTACGGGAATGAGCGTGATACGAGCAGAGCGTGAACGGGCGCGCTCCGATCTGGGTGCCATCCGCCGCGACGGTGCCGCGTGGCCGCCCCCGAGCCATTGGTCCGATCTCCGGCGCCCCGATCTGGGCAGCGGAAGCGAGCAGCGCGGCTGTGAGGCGGCCTAGGTAGTATAGAAGAGGCCCAGCGGAATTTTTGAAGGCGGATCGGGGGGCAAGCAATCGAGGCGGGCGCTGTGTGAAGGATTTTCTGCGGTCAGACTAATTGGTCTGCTTGAAGGCGCTCGCGGCGAAGCGTCGCTTGTTTACGCCGCGAGCGCCGTGGCCTCCACTCACTCTGAGCGCGCTGTCCCTGCGCTCACACCTCCTTGTTGTCCCCTCGAATCCCCTCCTAGCTCGGCCAAAATTCCTATGGGCTCTCGGCGCGCCTCCTGGCGCTGTTTAAGCCGGCTGGGCGGTGCTACTCGCGGTCCGAACGGCCCCGACGGAGTCTTCCCATTCGCGTCCGGCATGATGCAATCCTAACACACTTTCAGTCGCGGCACTGGCACACTGCTATGGACGACCATTTTGCGTCGCGGGTCTCAGCGGGCGCCGACTTCTGCCGAGCCGCACCGTCTCGCCGCCCAGCCAAGCCGCCCCCCTCGATGCTGCCGTCTTGAGCATCGGCGCAACCCCATCTGTGGCGCGCCGCGGAGCTTCCTTCCGTCGTGGAGGCCGCGATGACTGTTCCCGGGGCCTTGCGGCGCGTGACCATCGCGGCCCTGTGCACGCCGCTCCCCGGGAAGCGTTCTCCTCGCCGTGCTGCCTCCCCGCCACCGCGCTCACGCTTGATGAGCGGCCCGACACCATGCCTGGCGGCTGCGGCTCAGCTGCGGGCCGCCATCGCGTCCGAACCGCGGTGGGCCCCGAACCCGGTGGACCCCCCGCCCTTCACGGACGACTTCGCGTCGCGGCGCGCGGGCGTGCTGGTGGGCTTTACGGGCGCGCTGCTTCTTGCTTGGCGCGTGCTGGCGGGGCTGCCGCACCGCCGCGCCTCCCCGCCTCGTCGGAAAGGGGCAGCCACGCACGCGTTTCCAGGCGCCCGTGCACCCCGCCGGCGGCGGACTCCCCTCTGTGGACGTCGAATGGATCTCATTCTGCCCCCTCCTTGCGCGCCGTGGCCCCTCCCCGCGACCCGCGCTGCTGTCGACCGCGCACCATACCCACGAGCGCGTCGCCTTCGGCCGCTCCGACTCCACCTTGCAGCTGATCCACCGCACCACCGCCGCGGGCGGGCTACTGGGCGCGTGCGACGCCGTTTTCCGCGCTCGTCTCCGGATCTCCGCCCGCACTGCCGTAGGGCGGTCCGGCCCGCCCCGATCCTCCGATCCCGGCAGCCCCCGCACCCGGCGCACCCCTACGCGCTCCTGCGCTCTCACCTCTTCTCCGAGGTTTACATTCTGACCGCCTCCGCGCCGCCGGGCTTCTGCACCTCCTACACGCCGCCGGCTTCAGGGCCTTCTGCATCGCGCGGACCGGTGCCACTGCCTCTTCATGGGTCTCGCGTACTACGGCTGCTCACAGACCTGTCGGGGAGGTGCCCAGTGTGACCTAAACAGATCAATCGAACGAATCTACATCGAATGTCAGCAACTCTTCTAATGGCTCAGCGGTCGTCCTGTGATCAGTGCCGCGATGGCGTTGAAGGGCGGAGCAGGGGCTTGCCCCTCAGCGGGAGCCGGAGGCGACGCGGCTTCTGTTGGCGAAATCCGATCCACCCGGGCCCTCTTCGCCTCACGCTCCTCTCCTTCCTGCGCCCGCTCCCGCTCCCGCTCCCGTGCTTCCGCCTCCCTCTTCCGCTTCAGTTCGCGTTCGCGAACCAGCTCGCCGTGAAGGGTGACGTTGGGCTTTGCGCCCTTGGCTAGCTGCAGCTCGGCGGTCCCGGCCACAGACTCGCCCGTGAGGTACCGCGCAAGGTCCCAGTA